TGTGATTGGATAGAAACAAAGAAAATGATATATGCTTTCTTTTCTTTAAGACTATGGTGGTACAATTGGTGAGATAAACACAAAAATAACTCCAGGCCAGTACATGAAACAATATTCAAAAATTTTCTGCTCACTCGGTAGAGTGCGGTGCTGATAACACCAAGGCCCCGGGTTTGGATCCCATATAGGGATGGCCGGTTCGCTCACTGGCTGAGTGTGGTGCTAACAACACCAAGTCAAGGGTTAAGATCCCCTAAAAAAAAAAAAAAAAGATTTTCTGCTTGAAGGAAGGCTGGATCAAAGAGGATGCCACAAAACAGGTGCCACTTGAAAATCCTCGGGTCTTTAATTTTCTTTTTACCTAAAAACCAGAGACCTTCATCTGATATATTTTATAGCCAGGACTGTTGTTACACTTTAACTTGAATAGGCTAGACTATGCAGCAATAAATAAAACACAGAGAAACTTGGGTTTTGAACTGCAGAGCCACAAAAAAATTTAAATTTGGAACCTGGATGCTAGGTGTGAGGGATAAGGCATAAACTTCCCTTTTCTTCCCCAAATAAAAGTTGGTAAAAGTTAGTTAACCTGGCATTGTGGGTTCCTCTGAACTGAGTACTTGCGAGGTGACTAGTTTTGCAGAGACACATTTCTTGAACAATGAAAATAAAGTTCAACAGTGTCAAAGATATGATTTTATCCAAGTTCATGTAGGATCAGTTTTTATCTTTCCATTTACCTAACATTCACTAATCTTAAATAATATCATTCTATCCAAGCAAACAGACTGACAGGCAAATAAACAGACAAATGTGAAATGGAGTCCTACTAAACACTACCTCCGATACGGAGTACTGATACCTCCAGTACCTCCAATACTGAATACTCTTCAGTTCTGCAACTTTTTTATGAGAGAAAATATTAAAAGCTTGATGAAGTGGAAGAAGAATGTGTAGTAACAATTAAAAATATAATGTAGCATTTATAATTATGCAATTGATAAAACCACATTCCTTCTGGAAATTTCTGCTCCCTTACTTGGAGAAAGATGGCAAAACACTAAGTCCCTAACCGATATTATTCATTCAACATGGAGACTTATTCACTGACTCAAAAATATTTTTTGATATGTATGTTAGGTGTTGTGATTGGATAGAAACAAAGAAAATGATATATGCTTTCTTTTCTTTAAGACTATGGTGGTACAATTGGTGAGATAAA